AAATAGCCCAGGGCAATTATAATGCATATGAATGCTGTCATGTAGGCTCACGATAGTCACCCACTAAAGAGATTTTTATTTCTAATACGCTTTCTCAGATGTTCTGATTCTAGTGGTCTAGTTTTATGGTCTGTCCGCCAGATAGGAGGAATTTAAATGAGGTTAAAAGCATCAATTCTTTGGTGCTCAGCTTTCTTTATGGTCCAACTCTCACATCCATAAATGACTACTGGAAAAACCATAGCTTTGACCATACGTACCTTTGTGGGCAAAGTAAAGTGGTATCTTTTATTGGTGGGATCCAACATTCTCCTGTCCATGGTTTTCCAGCAATTTTGGAGTTCTTGCAGGAAAAGATGAGCACACACCCTTCTACTCTGCCATCTTGCCAGATATGAATAGTTCAAATAGCCCAGGGCAATTATAATGCATATAAATGCTGTCATGTAGGCTCACAATAGTCACCCACTAAGGAGATTTTTATTTCTAATACGCTTTCTCAGATGTTCTGATTCTAGTGGTCTAGTTTTATGGTCTGTCCGCCAGATAGGAGGAATTTAAATGAGGTGAAGCTGGTTCTGGAATATTAGGAAGGACTCCACCTAATCATTTTAGCTTTCCGCTCATGGCTGTAATTTCCTCTGTTTGAGGACACTGAAGGTGACAGTTTTCCTTAGTGATCTCCACTTCCTGTCCCAGTCTCATTGCCTGCAATCGCCAGTAGGCGTTTCCAAAGTAACAGATTCTAATGGAACTGTAGTTCCTGTTCTACACTGGAGTCTCAGGGATAAGGTTAACCTGCTTTGCTTGACTTTGAAAGGCAGTGTGAAACTTACGTTAGGCTTGCAATAGATTGCCTTAACTGAGTCTCCAGAATCCCTCCAAACTGGAGTGGAGGAATCTCTGCCTTTTCAGGCAAACAGACTCTTTGCTCTTCATATACATTTCCTCACTGTTAAGGAGATATGCAACCATGCTTCAGGTTTTCCATTGTATTATTCTTATTGTAGCAAAAAGCTGATGAGCCATGGAAAATTTTAACCATGTCTGCCCAAATTCAAGGATGAACCACTGACTACTTGGTACACTAGAAAGATCTGGGAAGTCCAAGTGCTAAGTGTACCTCTGCCGATAATTCGGGGCTGACTTTGGGCAAGGAATGTAAGCTCTTGGCTCCTCATTTTCCCTGTCAGTAGAATAAAGAGGGACCACCCAGGCTCTGAAAGATGAAGCAATTAAGGAAAAAGTAGGAACAGGGCCAGCTGGCAAGTAAGAGGAGTACAGAATTAATGTAATTTTTATATTACAGCTGACTCAGCATATTTCAAAAATGTAGAATTGAGCCAAAGAACATACATTTGGTATTAACCAAACTGCCAAAGGAAGTTATGTAAAGCCTCTTTATTGAGCTTGAAAAAGGAGAGACATTCTTTTCTCTATCCTGATTTGGGTTGGGATGAAATCAATACTGAGTCTCTTTTGGTCTTTGGAATCTGTCCTCTAACAAGCAAAGCCCATTTCTTCACAAGTAGGTGGTTCTGAAATGTGTCTGCCTAGGCTGATGCATGATGGAACAGTAAGTAAAATGATAAAGTCTCCACGCATCTCTGGGTGAAAACAGAGGTCATCTCTGGGCATGGAGGATTTTGCAGTATAATATGTATTTCCAAAGGGAAATGCTTGCAAAATGCAGATGCTGATCCCAATTCTGACTTCATGACTGGTGCCAGCCTTTGCCCTGGCACCTTTGTGGAGACAAAGGGGAGAGCCAAGAAATGAAATGATATTTTCCTTCCCTCATCATTACTCAGCATAGCCAGCTTGCTTAGTTATAAAAAATTCAAGTGTCAAGAGAAACTGCAGTGCAGTTTCTCATCCAAAAATGCATTCTCCCTCATGGTCAAGAGATCCACTGTGTTCTAATATTGTTTCTGAGATGGATGGTCTTGTGGGTTAATTTTTTCCACTCTAACTCTCCTCTGTAACTTGCTTCACAATATTGTCTGAATTCTACNAAATGATATTTTCCTTCCCTCATCATTACTCAGCATAGCCAGCTTGCTTAGTTATAAAAAATTCAAGTGTCAAGAGAAACTGCAGTGCAGTTTCTCATCCAAAAATGCATTCTCCCTCATGGTCAAGAGATCCACTGTGTTCTAATATTGTTTCTGAGATGGATGGTCTTGTGGGTTAATTTTTTCCACTCTAACTCTCCTCTGTAACTTGCTTCACAATATTGTCTGAATTCTACAGGGACAATCGTTCTGAAACTGTAGTGTGTGGAGTCACTTGAGGAACTTACTAAAATGATAGGTCTCCTGACTTTAACCCCTAGTTCAGTGGGGTTGAGGAACCTGCATTTTAATTTTTATTTATTTTTTAACTTTTTATTTTATATTGGTAATAGCTGATTAACAATGTTATGATGATTTCACGTGGACAGCAAAGGCACTCAGCCACACATATACATGTATACATTCTTCCCCAAACTCCCCTCCCATCCCAGCTGTCACATAACATTGAGCAGAATTCCCTGTGCCTTACGGTAGGACCTTGTTGTCGTAGTCACTAAATATGTCTGACTCTTTTGAGACCCCAGGGACTGTAACCTTCCAGGCTCCTCTGTCCGTGGGATTTCCCAGGCAAGAATACTGGAGTGTGGGGATCAGCAGCACTATCTTGAGGATCACCATCTGGGTACCATGCCCAGCTAGCAATATTATACTGCACACAGTGTATAAGCCTTTACAAGCCAAGTCCTAGTTGTGGCCTTGAAACAGCTCTTGAGCACACCTAAATAAATTATTGCCCAATTTATAACAGTCATTGCTGGGCTTATAATAATTTCTGATTTAGACAAATGGCCCAGGAAGAACATGAGCTTGGGAGTCAGAAAGGCCTGGGTGTAGATCTTTGAGCCTCCACTTACTGTTCTTTGAGCAGGCTGCTCAGCTTCTCTGAGGCTTGGTTTCCTCATCTGTCAAATGGGAACAGTATTACCCACCTTACTGAGAGAGGGGTGGTGAGGATGGAATAAAATGACTTATGCGTAAATGCCTCACCAACAGGGGAGCCTGGTACTTAGAGACAGATGCTAAATAAATATTATTTTCCTCCATTTGTACTGAAGCAAGAATTTGAAACAAACACATGAAAAACCTTGCAGAAAGCAGACAGTGTTATGGGAAACTGTTTTTTAATGCCCAGGTTAATCGATTTTTTGCCGTATTGCACATCACTTTAGTGGTTTGTTTAGAGATCTTGGAAGCATGTCCCTTCTTAATTCCTTCAGGCAGTACTGACTTCTGTTGTGAATATAGGTTTCCAAGAGAGATCCCAGCAGGCTGATAGGGAAATGCAGGGGTATCATGATGTTGGCACCTTTGCCAAACACTTCAGGGTCCAGTGCAGAAAATTCAGATCAGGTGTTTAACCCGAAACTACACCTGCTCCTAGTCTCAGGCTCACAAGAAGAACCTTGTTCCTGAGAATCTAGCTAGTAATGGACTATTTGGACTGTCTTGTTCAAGCTCTTTCCAGGCGAAATGTGAACGTTATATGGTCCAAGAGAAACAATGCACTATTATACTTGGCGTGTACAGAGAGCTCCTTGCTAGGAGGTGATTTCGAAGTTCAATTTCAGCAATACCTGCCCACACCCCCCTTTCTCACCACGTCCAACAGGGTTTTACTGTTTGAAAAAAAAATGACCTTTGTTCTTTGTGTTGGTTGATTAATTTAAGGCTCACTGTTCTTATCCCCTATCATGCTCATGTCGGTACTTATGCAATACGTTTTTATACATCGCATGATACCTCCTTCTGAGGACCCAAATCAGAAGAGGAATTTAATAGCTAAAAATGCCTCTCTGCATTTTCTGGCTGAACAAACTGCAAGTTCAATGAAGACCCTTGGGTAGCATCAAGTCACAGGCGTCCTCTTGCTGTCTTCTCTCTTGGTCTTTTGTCAGGGGAGCCTGTAATCCTATCCTAGGGCAGGGCGGTCACAATAACTTCCATTCTCTGAAGGCTACACTCGGGAAACTGAAAGAATAATCCCTGTAAACCCCATCATATGATTTTAGAGCCTGGAAAGAGCCTCAGATCCAATCCCTCTTATTTTACAGGAGAGGAGTCTGAGGTTCAGAGGCGTCCACATAGTTTAAAATTGATTTTTTCTTTAATGACTACCTGCAGTGTGTGTACCAGAAACCGTGCACACAATGTGTACTCAGTCACTTTAGTCATGTTCAACTCTTTGTGACCCCGTGGACTTTAGTTCACCAGCCTCCTTCTCTGTCCATGAGATTTTTCAGACAAGAATACTGGAGTGGGTTGCCATTTCCTTCTCCAGTGCACACAGTGGGAGGCTCATAATAGACCTCCAACAGGTTCAATGAGTTGCCAAATGAAGATGAGGAATGACTGTCTGGTAGACAAGGAACTAGCCAGCACCTGCTAAGAAGGAAATAAATGTTGACTGAGCCACTTTGGTTCACAAGTGCTCTGCTATGTTCTGAGGAGCTGGGGGAAGGCAAGAGGAGTCCCAGTGGGGAGAAACAATATGTGAACTTTATTAATAACCAGTCCTCATCTTCAGGGGACTTACAGTCTGCAGTGAACTCCTGGCTGAAAGGCATTTTCTAAATCAAGATAGGCACATATCACACCATATTGAACCAAGCAAGATTATGTACTTAATGACTCAATAATTTAATACATAGTTGTCGAGATGTTTGGGAAGAAGAGCGAAGAGTGCTGGCTCCCAGATAAACAAGCACAGTATTTTCCCCAACAGTGGACTCTTACAGCCACAACTCTCTTTTTGCTTCGTGTATCCCCATGATTATGACATGGCGGCAGGGGCTCCGCTGGTGCTGATTGAATCAATATGTGGCCCATTTGATACTAAAATTATGGGCATATTTATGTCCACCCACAATGACTCCTTTTGTAGCAATGCTTTCTACTCACATGGATCTTTTGTTGTTTTTCTTTCAGTGGCCCACCCTCAGGACCCTCACCACCCATCAGAGAAGCCTGTCATTCACTGCCATAAATGTGGAGAGCCGTGCAAAGGGGAAGTGCTTCGGGTCCAGACCAAGCATTTCCATATCAAATGTTTCACCTGCAAAGGTAAGGCACCTCTGGCTTCCTGGCAATGTGGCCTCACAGTCAGTGCTTGTCTTGGAGGCAGCCCCATCTCCTTAACTCCCTATCAGGTCACCAGTTGATAATTGAATGTGCTCACAAGTCCTGAAGTTGTTCGCCTTCTCTAATTCAGGAATAGATTGAAGTTAAGGGGAATACTGAGCTTGCCCCAGCTCCAAGACCAGGGGTACACAGGCCTTTGGGTGTTCACTGAGGTTTGTGAAACAAACAAGACCAGGTGGGAAAGGGTTGCAGTGGAGGAATTAGAGTTCACAGCACAAACTTAAACCAACAAACTGTCCAGGACTTCATAGGTTTAGCTGTAGCAAGATCAGAATTGGTGAGCAGGAGTTTTGTTGGTGAACCTCTGTTACTTCCTAAGATGTCTGGCATCTTGGAATCTAATGGTCCAAGAGTTATATATCCAATTTGTAAATGTTAACGGAATACATACTCCATATGTCAAGGAACTCGTCGGGTATTTGAAGAGATACATACTGGCTCAGACAGTAAAGAATCTGCCTGCAATGCAGGAGACCTGGGTTCAGTCCCTGGGTCAGGAAGATCCTCTGGAGTAGGAAATGGCAACCCACTCCAGTATTCTTGCCTGGGAAATTCCGGGGACAGAGGAGCCTGGTGGGTTACAGTCCATGGGGTCGCAAAGAGTCAGACACGACTGAGCGACTGTGCGCATGCACACAGGATACTGAATAATAAATGCTGTGATGGAGAGAAATACAGGATGTAGACTGGAGGCAGGCAGATAGATCCAGAAAGGGGGTGGATATAATGGTGGTCCAGGTGGAAATAATGTAAGGAACATAGAACCAAGTGTGGTAGGGACTCGGGGACAGATTTAAGAGACGTTTAACCAGCTTAACCTTAACCTTACCTTTACCTAAGACATTTAACCTTAACCCAGTTAAGATTGCTAGGATTTTATGACTGGTTGGATGTGAAGTTTTTTTGCCTGCTATATGTTCATTCAGATTTTGTTTCAGTGATATGACCATTTTTTAATGTATCACCTTGTCTATATCATGATTGTAATACATACTCTATAAGAGAATAAGAAACTTATTTAAGTAGTAGGAATTTAATGTTTAATAATTATATATTTAATATTTAGTAATCGATATATTTAGTTAATTATAATTATATAGCTTATCATATCGATACATTATGTTGTTCATTATAATTATTGTTTTCTATCTTGAGCATTTTTTTAGGATAATGCCTTAGATCCATTTTTCTGTCAGAATGTTCTAGAACATTTAGAAAAGACCAGGGACCAGAGGCTTGAGGAGGGCTGTCCAGCCAAATATTCTGTTTTCATTAAGCCTTTCCTGGACTATCCTGTATAAGATGTCAGCTTCTCCAGATATCACATCTCTTTCCACTGTACCTTTTTTCCTTAACATATATCATTATTTAGCATATTTTATTCATGAGTAAGCTCCCCTTGAGGGCAGGGATTTTTGTCTGTCTTGTTTATCACTCTGTACCTGGTACCTAAAACAATGCCTGATGCATTAGGTGCCCAATAAGGTGAAAGATGACCGAACAAGTGAATGAACAGTAGCCATGTATTTCTTTGGAACTTGAATATTTGTAAGTGCTTCTAATGGCATAGCTAGCCAACAAGATTTGTCAAGTGTTTACTATGATATATACTCTCACATGCTTACTAGACAGCAACATTATCTGCTGAAAAGAGTGTAAGTAAAGCTATCTGTCATTGATTACAGAGCGAGGCGTCTCTGTCTGGCAGATGGAACAGATCAGAGAACCTGTGCTAATGGCTGCTGTCAGGCAGCACTTGGGTGAGATGTTGGTGCTGTTTAGACCCTTAGCTTTCACTTAACCCACTGGATACAACCCACTGCATGTGGGTTATTTGGGGTTCAGGTGGATATTGCTAAAGCTCTAATAAAATGGAGACAGTTCCTTATATTCCCTAAGTGCAGAGCTCTGACTTTTAATATCTATTTAGAGAATCTGACTCATTTGGAAATTGAGTAGAAGGCAGAATAAACAGGATGCAAGAAAATGAGTCTGATACAAATGTACTCCCTTCTCACAGCAAATGAGAAACCACTTTGATGCCATCTTATGCTGATAAAAGGATAGTCCTGTATAGATTATCTTTTGAATTTTGTGCCACGTTAAAGTGTTACCTAGTTAAATAAATATAATTTATATTTTTAAAAAATATTTAAGATTTTGAATTCCAAAGTGAAATAGGATAAGGACTCAGAAATTCTTCAAAATATGCTGCTTCACAACTTTGACTTTTGTTGAGAGGTGATTATCCATGGGTCTCATTAGTGTGGGCACTTTTTGTTCTGCATTATCTTTCAAGGATGTTTGTGTAGTGAATATTCTCAGAAGACAGAGACAGCATTTCCCTCTGGACTAGAGGATGGATTTGTTTGCTGTCTAGTGTAATAAAGATAATATCTGCCTCTGGAACAAAGGTTGGATTGATTTGCTTACAGCTCATTATAAAAGACAGGGGTTTTCTAAACTTTAGGTTCCTTTTGTTGTTGTTTAGTTGCTCAGTCGTGTCCGATTCATTGCGACGCCATGGACTGCAGCACACCAGACTTCCCTGTCCTTCCCTGTCTCCCGGAGTTTGCTTAAGCTTATATCCATTGAGTCAGTGATGTCATCCAACCATCTCACCCTCTGTCGCCCTCTTTTCCTCATGCCCTCAATCTTTCCCATCATCAGGATCATTTCCAATGAGTCATCTCTTCGAATCAAGTGGCCAAGTATTGGAGCTTCAGCATCAGTCCTCCCGATAAATATTCAGGACTGATTTCATTTAGGATGGACTGATTGGATCTCCTTGAAGTCCAAGGGACTCTTCAAGAATCTTCTCCAGCACCACAGTTCAAAAGCATCAATTCTTCAGCACTCAGCCTTCTTTATGGTCCAACTCTCATATTCAGACATGACTACTGGAAAAACCATAGCTTTGACTAGACGGACCTTTGTCAGCAAAGTGATGTCTCTACTTTTTAATATGNTTCCACAATGAGACCACAGAGTCCTAACCGCTGGACCACCAGGGAATTCCCAATAATTTCTGTGACGATAAAAAATTCGAAGTAGTGTCAGAATCCACCAGTAGGAAACTGGTCAAGTAAAATAAATTCCAAAATTAGAATACTATATAGCCAACGGGGTGGGGGAGATTGGAATGAGCAGATGCAGACTGGTGTATATGTATGTCGATGGTCGTGCTGGGTCTTCAACACTGTGTACAGGTTTGCTCTAGTTGTGGCGAGCAGTGACTACTCTCTGTTGCAGAACGTGGAATTCTCACTGTGGTGGCATCTCTGGTTTCGGAGCACAGGCTCGAGGCACTCCGGCTTCAGTAGCTGCAGCACGTGGGCTCAGGAGTTGTGGCACATGGGCTTAGTTGCCCCGTGGCATGTAGGATCCTTTTGGACCAGGGACTGAACCTGTGTCCTCTGCTTGATGGGCAGATTCTCAACCACTGGACCACCAGGGAAGTCCAATGATAGCTTATAGTTTGAGACAGGGAATGCTGAATTTCACCTAGCTTAATCAAGGAAGAGCACATCTTCTAAGAAAAATGATTTGTATAGCAACGTTTATGGGAATGTTTATATCAAAGAGCAGGGGAGAAAATGGAAATGTTCCTCAAACATTTTTAAAACAAGCATTGAACCCATCCTATTGCTGGTTCTTTTCACATCCTGACCCTGAAACCTTGGGGTACCACATGCTCAGACCTTATCTGTATGTCTGCTTTCTGGTAACTTCATCCAGTCTCATGGTTTAGAAGTACCATTTGTGCCCTGAAAATGACCAACTCCAAAGTTCTGCCCTGTGGTTCAGACTGGTATCTTCAAAAGCCTTCTCAGCATCTCTGGTTGGCCTCTCAAACCTAACTAGTAATGGATTATTTGGTTACTAGCACCATCCCCACTCCTCTCCAGTCTTTTCATTTTAGCCATTGTCAAGACCTTCCTCCCAGTTGCGTGCATGCTAAATTGCTTCAGTGGTGCCAGATTCTTTGCGAACCCTATGGACTGTAGCCCGCCAGGCTCTTCTGTCCATGGGATTCTCCAGGTAAGAATACTGGAGTGGGTTGCCATGCCCTCCTCCAGGGGATCTTCCCAGTTGCTTAGCCTTAAAACTTTAGAGTTATTTTGACTTCTCTTTTTCTTTCACATGGCACAAATATTCCACCAACAAATCCCTTCAGCCCTATCTTCATAGTATATAAAAAATCTGGCCATTTACACCATCCCAAAGATAATGCTCCTGCTCCAAGCTGCCACCATGTCTTGCCTGGATTAATAATGATGTCAGGCCTCCCAGCATCTGCCTTTACCCCTACTTCAGATTATTCTTAATGCAGTAGCCAAGGTGATCCTTAAAAATAAAGCCAGATCCTGTCACCTTTTCCAAAGAGTTCCTTCATCTTTCAGAATGAAGTCCAGAAACCTTAATGTGGCCTCCAAAGCCCCTCCCCACTTTACTCCCTGTCCTCATCTCCCACCACTTTCTCTCTGGCTCACTCTGCTGAGTGACCCTGGCCTGCTGATCATTCTTAAACAAACCGAGCGTTGAACAGCCTCCGGACCTTTCCACTTACTATTTCTTTTGCTTGATGAGCTTTTTATTGAGGTATGTGCCTGGTGTCCTCCTCCACTTACTTGGGGTCTCTTCTCAAATGTCACTTATCATTGAGATCATCTTTGACACTATCTGTCATGTATAGATGTGTATATGTGTATCTGTGTGTGTTTACATATATATGTATTTATATACAGTTTAAGTTATGTAGCGTTTATTTGTTGCCTGTCTCCCTCTGCTAGGCACCAACAGGGTTTGTATAGCAGCCTTTGGAAAAAAGCCTAGCTTACATTAAGCACTCAATAATAATTGTTGAATGAGTGAATGAAATGTTTATCATTGACTGATACTAATTACAGGTTATTATTTCC